GGGGGATGTATAATTTTTGTGTAGAGATTTGACACAATTGATGTTCAATACATATATATACATGATACTTACAAGCCAAAGAGTCCCCAGTCTTCAGATTCAGCAGTGGGTTTTTTTCCCACCTTTCATTTTGCTCATGAGTGTGAGGTTCTGTCAGTTAAAGTTTCTAAAGGTATAAGGTCCATGAATAAATTACATTTGCTTTTACAGTTTGGTAGTTGCAGTATCTCCATTAGTAAATTATGTATAGGCCTCTTTCACAGGGATATGACTTTTTATCATAATGGTCACGTTTCTAATCAGACTGCAAAATCATTTCTCCTCTGTAGTTGCCGTAATACAAACGCATCTAATTAATGCCCCTCAACAGGCTTTTCGGACAGGAATTAACTTTCTAAGCCGCTAAAATTTTAATTTATTTGTATCCTTGTCAGTGACTTTGAGATCTACAAAATTAAAGTTTCTTTGGAAAATCTTGGTCACCTTCAGGATTTTAATTTTCCTAGCCAGATAACAACAAAATGTTAGATGCGTGCTGAGTAAACTAGCAAAAACTAAAATGACAGCAAACCTGGATTCTCTTCAAGGATATGTGAGTATTTTACGGTGTCACATACAGAGTGTAATCCGATTCGGTGCCCTGTGTTGCAGTGAGCATTTGGGGGTGGGGTGGGCCAAATCCATGTCATTCCACATCTGTTACATATTAGGAAGGCAAATACAAAAACTAGAGTCACTATGAGTAAATAGCACTGCTTATTGTCTTCCACGAGAAATTATTTTCTATTATCCTTCAACAAGTAAAGTGACTGAAAAATTAAGTATTTTAAGATTGGTGTTTATTTAGACTGAACTTTAGTATGTTAATACAAGTTGTTAAGAACGTGTGTAGATATGATGTAAAGTAAAGATTTCTAATACTGTTACTGAAATCCCACCAATTGAATCTTAAAATATGGTTGCCAGCTGTATTTTTTTGGAGGAGGAAAGCAATTGAGTTTATTTATTTATTTATATTTTTAGAGAAGGTACTGGGGATTGAACCCAGGACCTTGTACATGCTACACATGCGCTCTACCACTTGAGCTACCACCTCCCCCCTGCAACATGGTTGCCAGCTGTATTAATATTAACAAAAAACAGTAGAGTTATACCTTTGATAATGGTCTCTTTGGGGTAATACGTCTACCTGTGGCTAGGGCTCTGTACAAAACACATGTGTTTTACCTCATGTCATCCTTGAAAGTCTGTGAAGTAGGAATTATTTCCATTTTACAGATGAAGAAATCAAGAATTTAGAACTTCAGAGTTATGTAAATAGGAGAGCTGGGCCTCAGACCATTTTCTTACTCCCCATGTTACATGTTTTTCACCACTGCAATTCCTGATAAAAAGATAAATGCATTCTGCCACTGTAGACGCCCACTGCTATCAGCCTGGCGCTACAGCTGCCCACACACCTTTTTCTGTAGCGATATTAAATCATTCAAATGGCCCCCTTATCACATCTGGGAAAGAGCTCTGGAGTTAAGGCACCTGTATTCAAATTCTCACTTTGCAACTTACTGGCTGCTTCGCCTACTCTCCAACTTGAAAGATCAGGTGAGCTGAGCGGAGCGGAGCCTGGTGAGCAGTGCCTGGAGCACGGGAGATGCTTAGTTAAGTCTCAGAGTTTTTCCACCTTTATTCTTGAATCATTTCTGTGGGGTACAGTGTTCTCAAACAGGTCTCTTGTGAGTGCTTGTCAACCCGAGAAGAAAACGTGGCTTTCCAATAGGTCCTACTCCTTGTCCCATTCTCTCTCCTCCATCTTTAAGATGCCAGACTCAAAAAAATCCCCTCAGCTCATCCACAAGTTGAATGATTGAAATGATTTTCCTTTTCCTCCTGTAGGGAGCGAGGCAGATGTGCTTAGAAAGTAACATGATCAGGAGACTAGATAAATACGTATTCAGTTTTAAAAAAGATAAGATTCTGTACATAGTCCTCAATTCTATAAATACTTCTATTACTGATACAAACTTATTTCAGATATGATTTATTTGGGAAATAAATTAATCCCCAATTGCTTTTAAATATGGGAAATGGTAGACCTCTACTATAGAAAGCTTAATCTTTTTAAAGTTTTTTTTGTTGAGGGGGAAGTTTATTTATTTATTTATTTTAGAGGAGCTGCTGGGGATTGAACTCAGTATCTCATGCATACTAAGCTGTGCTCTACCACCTGAGCTATACCCTTCCCCCCAAAGCTTAATATCTTTATGCTAATTAACTCTATGGAGATGTCAGCTTCCAGATTAAGTCACTTAATCTTTCAACTTTCAAGTGGAATGGGATTTACTATTATCCATTACAAGTAATAAGCAAAGCAGGTAAAACAACTTTCTCTTCATGTGACTGTAAAAGTTTGGTTCGCCAAAAAGGTTATTATTATTCATGGTTTAGGCGAGCAAGGAGAGATATCTTACAAAGCTGTGTGTTCTTGGTATGAGCTGAATTTTGTCAGAGTCGCTTCTTGGTGTTTTTCATTTCCTAGGGAGTTCCAGAAGTACTAAAATTATATTGAGACAAAGTGTTTATGTTTCAAAAGTGCAGGCTCTGCATTCCAGGCTGCACACTGAAGGTTCTCAGAACAGAGGCAGCTTTTACTGAAACTTGGAAATAAGGGTAACTCATAAGGGCTGGGACTAGTACACACTGGAAAAATAGAAGACAACCTAAAAGCCAGGTGACAAAGGGCACAATCTAACCCAGGGGTTGACAAACTTCTCTGTAAAGGGTTGCATAGTAAACACTTAAGGCTTTGTGGGTCATACAGTCTCTGTTGCAAGCTCTGCTGCTGAGACTCAAGAGCGAACACTGACAATACATACGTGAGTAAGCATGGTGGTTTTCCAATAAAACTTTATTTATAGACACAGGAGGCAGGCTGGGTTTAGCCCTTGTGCCGTTGTTTGCCTACTTTTGTGGGTCTGCTCAAATGCTCCCTGACTTTTGAGTTATTTTCTCATTTGTTGGACTTAATTAAATAGGTGGTTTTGGTAGCATAGAGAAACTAACTACCAAGGAAAGTTCGATTTGGGGCTCAATAGGACTTTGCCTAAAATTTTACCATTAGAAAGTCAATTTCTGGGTTGAACATTATTCTCTTCAGAAATCTGCTTAAAATGCAAGGGCTTAGGAAATGTACCAAGTCAGCATCTCTGTAGTGTTAATTAGTAGCTTGAGGCCCTAGAAGCTGCATGAGAGTACCCGGGCGCCTGGAGTAAAGAAAAGGGGACTGAAAGAGGAGGGCCCTGAAAGAGAGGCGTTTGTCTCGCCCTCTAAACAATCCTTCATGGGGTCCATTTGACCACCCAATAATATTTTGTTGTTGTTGTTGCTCCTGCAAAGGCAC